AAAACGATTTCCTTCTACAATTAATGACTACCTTTTGGATTTTGCACCCGCCCTTTAAAAATGCGAGTTTCTGACAATTAGAAAATGTTTAGTGCATAAAGGATTATAATTATGTTAATTAAGCAGTCAGAATATGCCTTTTATTTTTTTGCTTGTGCTGAAAAAATGGCAGCCAGAGACTGACTGGTTGCTATAGACAACACCTACAGTTCTTCTTGTCTTAGTTTTCTGCTTCACTTGGGGGTACACACTCCTGCCAGGACAGAAAAAAAGGTGCCATTGCTGACTTGTTTCTGGTGGTACATGTTTTAGTTGCATCAAATGATATCCTTGTTTCACTGCTTAGTGAGTCAGTGAACCTGGAACAAGCATTCAGCCAGTGAAGTCTTGAACAAGTAGGCAGGTCAGTGACTCAATAAGCAGTAAAACAATGATAATGATGACAACCCTAAAAACAAAAGTCTCAGGGGAGGAAGTCTCACCTGTAATCTCACGAGATCCCAGGGAATGCTCTGCTGATGTAACCATCCCAGGATGCAGTGCTTGGGCACATTACCTCATTTGTACCAAAGCGGACCAGGAAGTGGAAAAAAAGAAATTGTAAGTAAAATAAAAATATGTTTAGCTAATGAATGTAAGATGATTTCATATCAACACACAGAGCTATATGCTGATGTGATTTTTAGTCAAAGGGGGTAAAGGTCCACTTTAAAGTAGATGTAAACCCTAACTGAATTACATTAAAGGATAAGTATATTTTAAATAAAAGTGTGTTAATCCTTTTTGCCTCCCTTTCCCCCTCCACAGATGTAAACTAACCTTGATTTGATGCCCACAGAATCTGGAGATTGTTTACAACCCATCTACCTAGGCTTATCTACCTCCATTTCCCAGCCAAGAGATGAGCCCTACTTATTTTTTAACATTGCTTAAAAACTGTGTACCATAAACAATATCCATGCACTTTTTTGTTTCACTATTATTTTATAATTTTGTTTAATCTGCTCATTATTTGTGCTGATGTTCTGCACAAGCCTCTTTGCAGACACTTTCTGTCTACAAGCACTAACTGTAGTATTGCTCTGAACAAGCTTTCTTATAGTGACAATGGGGGGCATGCCTGAGCAATGTGTGTCACTTCTAGTCTTCACTTGAAGCACATATGACATAATATCAGTGCAGGAGTACAACTGGGACACAGGGACTAGGATCTTCATGGCATGTACTGTATTATTTTGATGATAACTCCAGATTTAAAAAGATTAACAATTACTTTTGAAATCGCATAAACATTCACCGCTCCGATCCGCCAGCGCTGACTGGCGGAACGGACGGGGGAGGGGGCGGGTACAGCTGGCTCTGCCTCTAGATAGTCAGAGCCAGCTGTCAGTCACGCAGCTGGGCAGATCCAGACATAAGTGTCAGGATCTGCTTCTGCTGCGGCGTCTCAGTATACCGGGAGCTACAGCACGCGGTGTACTGAGCCTAGGGTGAGGGAGGACTCTAGTTTGTGTCCTCCCGTTAGCCCTAAGGAGAATTATTCAGCGCATCCTTTACATGGAGACTGTGTGCAGTGAGTATTCAGGTCCCATGCCAAGATCTTGGCATCAGCAGAAACTGCTTTGACCATCAGAGAAAAATGCATGACTGCACCACTCTCACCTTCTGTGCTCTGGTTCACAAATCTGCAAATTCAAGTAGCTCTAAGTGACCTGTGATCTCCAGCTCTTAGATAGTAATGCACCCAACACCACCACCATCTAAAGACAAAAATAGCATGTCCAACTTGAAGTTACCACCAGGAGAGTCAGACATTGTCTTCACTATGTTAGATGCTTTCTAATGGGTTCTAGATGGTTTCTACCTTCTACAGCTGACTGACCTGAGGCATTTGAATATTGTGTGCTTCATGGCTGTAAACGAGGTACTTGGCAGCTATCTCTGTGATGAAGTCAGAATCACATATGTTGGGTATGTTCAAGGTTTGTTGTTCTTTCCTATCTATGTAGACCTGTAAAAAAAGCTGTAACTGTTAGGCGTGAATTCCCAGACTTTTCCTTGTGATGAGAACATCTGCTTTCTACACCAAGTGCTGAGAAATCCACAAAATAATTCCCCTCCCCATGTTGTGGCCACTTGAACTGTTCTGAAATAGCTCCATCACAAATCACCATCTCCTCGTTTGTTTATCCCAGGTACTCAAAATAAGTTTTTGGTCTTGCTCCAATAACATACAGCTTTAATTTAGAAGATAATAGTCTACAAATACAATTATTTTATAATTGAGTAATGTATCAAACAAATATTAAGAGTCAGAAATGGAAAATAATCAAATAATTCCTAGTAGATATAGAAGATACACCTGTGTAATTTTGGCCATGGACAGACAGATCACCTTGATAACAACTGAGATCTATCAGCCCTGAATACTGATCACCACCCAAACCTACTGTAATTTTTCCACCTTACCAGAGTAAATCGGTTTTATAATTTCCAAAAACTAAACGTTCTTTGCCACTTTCTCCACTCTGGACAAAGAGTTTCCCTTGTCAGAAAAAAACCCACCCACTCATACACACCATCGCCCTACTCTGTTGTTGTTTCAAGAACACTAAGTACAAACATTGAGTAAGTTCTGCCTTGGATGGTGTCGAAGTTTGCACAGGGCTAACTTCTTCCTCCTCAGAAGAAACATGTTTTTTTTTTCTCATTTAAAATAAATGAAATAAAATAAATAAAATGAGAAAAAAATCAAATAAAAATGAGAGTTTGTCACTTTCCCCATTCAGGGTAAGGTGACAAGTTCCCCTGTTAGGAAAAAAAGTTCATCCCCTTCACCATACTCTGTTCCACATCAGAAACACTAAGTATGCATTAAACCCTGTGTAAGCTCTTTTTACACGGGTTAACTTCTTCCTTCTCCTGGTCAGGTATAAGTGTGTGGGCCTTGCGATTGCCCACTCAGCCCTCAGCACTGCATCCAGGGAGGATGTAACAATCTGCAGATGTACTAAAGATTTAAGCTTAGCAATGGAAGCAGCAAAGACTGAATAGACAAAGTAACATCTAAAAATCAATGTGACCTTAACAACCGACAATAAGAAAAATTAAGTCTGTAAGGTTTGCTAAGAATTTATAACTAAAAGTGTACATAATTAAGGATAGCAACAAAGCAAGATTACTCTGATGCATTATTAAAGAAAACTTGATCCAAACCTCTGCAATTAAAATTAAGCAAATAACAAATACATGTAAAGACACTGTTACTATGCCCGTTCATGCTGATTATCCACCCCACAGCAAGGTATTCTCAACCCTTCTGTGCTCCCTTCCCTTCGCAGAAGTCCTTACTAATTGAGCGAGACTACTGGTCAGTGGGGAAGCATTTGACTTTACCATATGGCAGTACAATTGGACAGGAGAGCACACACAAGTCACTACATGAGCACTGTTCTATCCAGGAGTGCCGAGAGCCCAGGCCAGCGTAATTACTCCCAATGGGTGGGAAGGAAGTAGCTTGGACTAAGAGCGAACAGGACTCAGGACTCCGGAGTGAAGAGTCTGCCTGGGACAGCATCAGAGAAAGGGTTAATTATTGCAGAAAAAGCTGAATTTGTTATATTTCTACCTCTGCTGGGCTAATTACTTTTGTAATTCAAGAATATCTGTATAGTTGGACTTTAAACCGTAAGCTCTGCATGTGTATGTAACAATAAAATATGATGGCCACCACTGTCATATATAGTCACATACTAAAAACAGAAACAAAGTTATTAACCATTAACTTACATAGATAAGACTATTTACATGAGGCTTCTCAAAGTAAAAAAAAAAAAAAGTGGGACAGACTTTGTGGAATCATTCTTCAGTTGCCACATTTACATCTTTAATTTCAGAAAAGAAAAGAGCACTTTGATAATCAAAAGTATAATAATTGCAACTTACAACATCATATCCCAGAGAAAGGGCCAACTTAACATTTCCTGAGGTTTTCAGGTGCAAAATTGTTAAAAGGATGTGTAAACTTTATCAGCTGGAGCAGAATTTCTCAACCTTTTTTCAGTCACGGCACCTTTTAAAAATATGCAAAATCTCAAGGCACCCCAGTCTAACATGTAAAAACGTAAACTGATGTGTGGTCCCCCCAAATTAATACCAGACTCTTATCATAGACAGGGGGTAGATATGGCTTTTAAGGGTGAACCCCTAGGCAAAGAGACAAAAAAGATGATGTGGAGTTTCCCCCTTCACCTCAGAGTCCCCCCTCCTTTCACATTAGAAGCCCCCCTTTAGCAAAAATTTGAGGACACCCCTGACAAAGCCAGAAGGCAGAAGCTAGAGAACAGCTGAGGCTGTGTTCAATTTAATCCTTTAGGGTCTTGTTCACACTAGCCTGCGTTTTTCTGCACACCACTACAAATGTATGGTGTGAACATGGCATATAGACAACAATTAATTTCTATGTGCCCCATTCATACCATTCATATGCATGGTGTGCAAAAAAAACACATCTCAATAGACATACAGTGAACAAGACCCTAAACCAGCTGAAAAGTAGTGAGAGGTCCACATGTGGCCCACAAAATACCATATTGGCATGACTAATTTACATTAATTTAGCATATTTATAAAACTGTATAAGAAATATATAAAGACTATGGATCCCTTTACTTTTTAGCCTTGAGTGAGTTACTGCACTCGTGTTAATGTGCCTTCTGGTAAAACAGTCCAAATGTTTTTGAATGGGCGGCCATTACACCAACCCACAGCATAAATGGATATGAAGCATTTTTTTAAGACATAGTATGTGTGTTGTGGTGCACTGGAGCACGGGTACATTGCTTAGTACAGTATTAGTGCGTTGAGGTGTCGTTTAAAATGACTGCAAGGCATATGTGTGAATGAATCCTATAGGGGTCATTCACATATGATCGCCTATCATAATTTCAATGTGTACATTCTTCCAATAATGACATTCAGTATATAGAACTGAAACGTACCTGCTGTTTTAATTGGTGAACTAGTCTGTCCTTTTCTCTCTTTAGCGCTATCACTTCTTCCTGGGTTTTCTTCTTCTTTGAGGCAGATAGTTCCAGTAAGGCAATGTTAGCATCCTTCTCACTGATTGCTGCCAGCAGAGCCTGCTGCCTGTAAAGAAACAATCCCCGTGATGAGCATGTGCTTTTCATGTATCCAGGCCAAACTTACAACAGCAGAACCAAACTAACATTCAAGTTAAACCTACTTTAAAGTCCAACTCCAAGGAAAGTTTTTAATTCCATTTTGGATAAAGCGGAGAAGGGTTGGAGCCTCTGTAAGAATTTTATTGATCTCTATGTCCCAATGCAAGAGATTTCCCCTTGCTGCCAACAGAACAGGGAGTCATGTGTAATCACAACAACAGGGACACCGAATAAAGCACATTTTTAGTAGAGTTAGGAAAGGTTAGAGCTTTTTTTTTGCTGTGTGTGTCTTCCTGTGCTGATGACGATAGCACCCCTTATTTCTTGCATTTTGGTCACATGAACAGGAAGTGAAGGAAAATCTTTGCAGTGTGGCCACGGATAGAAAGAAAAAGCCTCATAGAAATCTTAACTCTTTCACTCTCTATCAAAAACAGGAAAAATGCACTTCCTAGCCCCCAAAAAGTCACACACTGTAATATTAGTTGGACCACCTTTAGCTTTGATTACAGCATGCAATAGCCTGTTATATGCTGAGTTAGTAAACGAGTTAGTAAATGTCTTCCTGTGACCCAAAAGAGAACTATAGCAAAAAATAAAGGTTTGGCTATAGTTCTCTTTTAAGTTCTATGAGCACACCACAGTGCGATGTAGCCGTGTGCACTGTGCCCACCCGTGACAAGGCAAATTGCCTTATCTTACATTTGGACTGCGCTTAAATAAAAGCCCAACACATGGTGTGAATAGGCCCCAACTTGCACAGTATAGCAGTAATACAGCTCCTATTTAATTGGCATATAAGGCCCCATTCACATTTGTGTATGAGGCCGACTAGGTAAGTGTCATGAACTACTCCATTTGCGTGTAATCGGGCATGCTGCGATTACCTACGGATGATCATTTCTGAATGCAAACTGTTTCTCACCAAGCAATTCGAGAGAGACTCAGCCAGTCGGCTCGATTTGCAAGTGTGAATGGGGCCTTAAGCTGGGAATTGGGATAAAGACACGTCTGTTTTTCAATTATGAGTAAAAAATAATGAGGTACATATTATTTTCTGTCTGCAGTCATCTTGGGACATATCATGAGGAAAAGCTTTTTTTTGTTGCCGAACAAAAAATATCTTAAGCACTATTTTGGTTAGTTATGGAAAAAAAACAGCTAATTGTTATGTGCTTGTGTGTTTTGCCAAGCTGTCAAATTACTACCTGAACTAGTAACATCTCGTCTGGAAGAAAAGGTAACACATAATTATGTTTTTTGTCATGATCAAAGGAGCCATATTGTGTAATGAATATCTTATTCATAATTATACCCCATTTTAGCTTTATAGCCACATGTAAAAGAGAAGTTAATCCATATAGCTGGGACAAATTCAATTCCCAGTTCACCTAAGAAGGAAGGTCATGAGATATATATATTTATTTGTACAAATATTAAAGGGGTTTAGCAAAATGTATTACAACTGGACCGCTCAGGTTGGAGAAATGAAAAGTTAAAGGGGCAGTCCAGAATTCCAGCGCTTTAAATGGGGTATGAGGGAGAAGAATAGGGAGAAGGGTTGTGAGCAGAGCTGTGAACATGTATACAATCACACAATTTTGCATGTGTGAACGTGGGTGCGATTTCACAAGTACATGAAAAGCATTTATCGTGTTTGCAGTGCTATTATTCATTAAAGGAAATCCAAATGTAGCAAGCAAGACACATATCATAGTGTGCACGATAACATGCAAACATGCTTGGTGAACACACATGTACAGCTCACAGCTCAAACTGCTGCATAAGCTTCTTTGCCACATGAAGGGCAGTGTATTGAAATAAATGGTCTGCCCTATGCTGACACGTGGCCAAATGCTAGTGTGAAGGGGGCTAAGGCAGGGATGTTTGGAATAATACCAGGTTCACAATATTTTAATGGATAATGTGGCAATTTGCGTGCTTTGCACACAGTTCAGACGCCCCTTATAGAACAAAGCAGCTCAAACGCAGCCTCTAAACTGGCATGTGCACTACTCAAATAAAGTCAATGGGATTTTGCTGACCTGCACTTTTCTTCTCTATTTTTGCCCTTAGAAATCATATCATGTAATCATTATTATATAAGTGCATTTGTTTTGATCTACTATCTATAATAAAAGTTTTTACCCAATGAGCGTTCCTTGTGTCTTATATGCTGGAATACTGAGGATGAAGTGTTACTTAAGTATTGATTGGGAAATGTATAGCTTGGAAGAAGGTCCCAGCCTTCTATGACTAATAGCAATTGTTGCGTCAGAGTAAAGGAGCCCAAACACAAGTGACCACCACAGTACCAAAGCGTATCTGACCTTGGTATTGATCATACAAGGTAACATCCCTTCTGGTGACT